AGTACAAAATAAAACAGGAAGGACTAAACATGAAACACTAAACATGAACATGACTAAAATTAACACTTGATGAAACACAACAATTTTTGCTTTTGAAAGGAAGGATAGTCATTATTGACTGACATTTGCTTGTCAGAGGAACAAAAAAATCATTTTAAGCATTTCAATGGCCCACTGTGACACAAAACAATTTAATCTTTATCTTTCATCACAATAATGGGAGTCTCTGCAAATATTCATGACATATTTGGAAATTGAGAATGTGTTCCCTGTGTTCCTTCGGCAGACTTGTAGGAGTTAACCTTTGTTAAGTTTTGACCAGCCATTACTTGAGTGGTGTGCCACTATCCAGACTGATATGATACCAAGCTACTAACTGCATCATCACTCTCGCTTTGCAGTTAATTATTGAATGATCTGTTCAATAATTATTTATTACCTGCATTAGACCTGATTAGATCTTTTTAGTTGTAGAGTGTAGGGCAAGTTCATTCAACTAAGGACAAATGTGATGAGGCCTTTGATTTGTTGTCAAAATGACACTATTAAATAAGACAAATAAACTCCTGCAAAGTGAAAAAGGTTTGTTAACCTTCAGCGGTTTCCATTCAATTCATGTGAGACACTGGCTATCATGCTGATTTACTCAAAGGACAATATGATCATATGTGACATGAATGCATAAAGGCTAATGTTACAGCAGTGGTGGCTGTCACTGGATATCATATTGCTACCTCAATATTTTGATGTAATACTCCATAACACACACCAGTTCCTGTTGTGTGAGCATAAAAACTCCTCTAAATGCCATATTTTGCTTTGCGGTTTGCTGATGATTAATTTGACTCAGAAACTACACTATCCTGCCTCAGCAGAAACAGAAAGGAGCTCAAATGAACAGGTCCTGACCTCCTAATCTTCCAGTCGTGGAAAAAGAATGCGCTACAAGGTTCCTTTTGAATTCATTTATCTCCATGACTCTTTCTGAGTTTTCTTTTGCAGAACTAAATAGGGGGGGAAAGTCTGTGAAGAAATATATCTCTGAGAAGCCTTTTGAAAAGTTTATTTCTAGAGTGAAGCAGACGAGTTGGTGGTGGTTTCATGTTTGTCTGTTCTTAGTTTTTAAACAGACACACCGGACTCTGCTTGTACAAACAACAGCGTGGTTTGAACTGCTCGCTAGATGGATGTCATGGTCTGTACATCTGAACGACAGGAAGGCTGCTTATCATGTTCCTCATCGTCAGGCTACTGACATCTGTCACCTTCAGTCTTTCATCTTCACTCTCCCCGCCACTGCCCCCCAACACACACCTAAAGACACTCGCACACATACACACACTGTTCTGCTAGCGCAGAGTCCCCACTTCCAAAGCATCTCTGCCACTTATCTCTCTCATCACTCAAACTGTTCGCAGCAGCACTCCTCCTTCCTCTATGGCGTGGGGGAATGAAAAGAACGAGACGGGCAAGAAGGGAAAGGGAAGACAGAGGGGACGATTCATTCATTTGGGAGAGCTCATATGTTCTGAAAGGTGCTGCTTTGGCAGCAAAAACTTTCCTCTGACACGTGTCCAATTGATACTTTGTAATGGTTGCCCACTCAGCAGAAGTGATGGGACAATTCCCCTCGTCTGCAGATTGGGAGATGAGAGTGTGATGTTAAGGAAGAGAGAGTGGCGGAAGTGCTGCCGCTGGCTGAAAACTCAAAATATCACCTGCGGCCGTTGTCGGAGGTTGTTTTATCGATTTTCATCCACTTCCCCCTCATCATTGTCAATGTCGCCCACGCTGTCAGCCCCACCGCCATCATCCTCATCATTATTTACACAAGTGACACTCATCGTCATCATCATTATCTCTTTCATCGACGTCATTGCTCATCAGCGTATGTAGTGATTTACTGTACAAACACTGCAATTATTATAGACTATAGACATTGGAGGTTTGATGAGGCCTTCCTGTATGTTTCATATGCTGATGTTAAACATTCTTGAGACCAGGCCTATGGATGGACATACAGACATATGGTATACACACAAAGATATGGACAAATTACAGGAAAAGACTACAGAAATATGATGCAGATGTTTCCATACAGGACATGAGGGCTCCCAGAATGGTTTGATGAGTATGAAAACTATGTGAATCATATGCTATGGCCTTCACCGTGACCGGATCTCAAACCCAACATTGTAATGCAATTAGTTATATTAACTCAAAACAATTGTTGAAAAAGATTACATTGAAAGTTTTAAGTACCACAAACTCAAATTTAAGTTAAAAAAGATTCTTCATTTTACTTAAGTTAGTGTCACTTAAAATTGATATAGCTACTTGATCAAGAATATTTAACCTCCCAAAATTGAGTTACTTTTACTGTAAATCTTCTATGTATGTTCAATCCGTTTCAACAATTTTTTGAGTTAAACGCACTTATCTGGTTTTACAGTTAACTGTACACCAGTGGGAGATTTTGTAGCAGCGTATCAGAAAGCGCTCAATACTATCATGTCTCAGGAAACAGAAATTCAAAAACTACTTGGTTCAGTTTAGGAAAAGCTCGTAAGTTACATTTTGAGTTACCAAGCTGCAGTATTTGACAACTTGGTAGTGAGTATAATACTATGAACTTCTTCATCAACATTATGCATGTCTTACGCAACTCATTACTAAATATAACCTTAGCCCTACAGTTATATAATATTTCTGTATGGCGGCACAACAGGAAAAAGCTACAATATTGTAATTCAAACAAATTAAATGACTATGGATTCAATTTCATTAAAGTCACCTTACTTTACCAGCAAACTCGTAGTAGAAGCAGCATGAATGCAGAATAACCTTTCCAATAGATATGGTAAACCAACATATTCTGAGAAACTGATGTGTGCAAATAGTTTGTATTATTTAAAAAACATTTTTTGTCCTAAGTCATTAACTATGAAAGCGTCATACTCCTGACATTTTTAACAGACTGACCTTAACCAATGAAGAATATATGAGCAAAATATAGATTTTAGAATGAATAATTGGGTAGAAAGGATGATTGATTATGCATAATTAAGGTTACTAACTAGAATATAATTTTTAACTCTGCTGATTAAAAAGTCTACAGCCATGCTAGAGTCTGGACAGCCATTCGCCATTAGGATATATCATCCATGAATGTCAGTAATTTTGACATTTGTTAGTCTGGACATAATTGGAGGACCAAATGTGACACTGTCTGACCGGCATAATTATTAGTGTGGCTAAAAAAATAGTTGTAAAAGCAGGACTGTGGGACTTTTAAATATAAATGAACGTCAATTACATTCAAGCCCTTTCCGAACGGGTTTACACAATGATGGTTAGAGCACCAGTATGCTTTTTATATCAACCAGTTATGATGGCATTTTAAACATTTGCAAGTCCAAACTTATTTCACCTGGTCTACAGAATCGTAGTTACTATGGAAGTGAAATGTGAACCAGGAGAACCCATTTTACACTAAATTAGCTCTGATTCTTAAACCAGTTCCGGTGGTACACAGGGTAAAATCTCAGAGAAACATTGTATTAGACGCAAGAGTCGCCATTTGGGTTTATTTTCGTTGGCCAATGTTGGTCTCAAACCTATGTATTTGAGTTTGCTTCCATATTATTTAGTTTTTTTAAGATGGGGAAGCAGAAGTCTGAGGAAGACCATTGTGCTTGAAACGTCACTTGCAAAATAAATATTTATGGGTGCTTTTTGATGTGCAGATTTTTCTCTTCAACTGACATAAGGACTCATTCATTCATTGTAAGTTGAATGGTTTTCTACTGAGCACTTACTGTGTAACAGTGGTGGTGGTGTTATTATTCTCACTGCCAGAGGTTAAAAAAAAAAAAAAAAAAAAACTTCCCCCCCCCCCCCCCCCCCAGACTTTTCTTCTTGGCTGCATGAAAAGGCTTCAGGGAAACTTACAGAAATGATAATGACTCAATAAATTAAATATTAAAAAATCCAAATGAATAATGAAATAAAGAACTTTTTGGTTTCTTGTAAAAAAGAAAAAAGTATGTGAAGGTGACGGCTTCCTAAGACGCATTCACATGTAACTGCAATGTTTCCAGTTTGATTCCAGCTGGGATTTTTTGTTGCATGACATCCTCTCATTTCCGGTCTGTAAGTAATAGTTTTGGGAAATATGCTTATTTTTCAAAATGTGGCACACGTTAGATGAGAATACAACTCTCATGTCTGCACAGTAATTATTAAGCTACAGCCAGCAGCCAGTTAGCTTAGCTTAGCATAAAGACTGGAAACAGAGGGAAACCGTTAGCCTGGCTCTGTACAAAGGCAACAAAATCCAGCAGCTTGTTTATCTGTACAAAATCTGAATTGTGTTTCCTGGTTTTACTGGGAGTTATGTTCCACTTTGCTCCCGTCTCCAGTCTTTATGCTAAGCTAAGCTAACTGGCTGCTGGCTGTAAATTCATATTTTGTTCAGACATGAGCGTCAGCCTCCTTGTCTAAGACTTCCTCTGCAGTCGGATAAGCGACTGCATACGCGAGAATGACGAGAGACACATGTTGAATAATCTTTATAAAGAGATGTTCTTAAAAAAGCTAAAGCCAAAATTTGATATCTGGTTATTAAGATTTGCAAAAAAGCAAGAACACTTCCCAAAATGTTGAACTCTTCCTTTACTGGAGGGGTGTTGGGGGACACAGGACCTCAGTTTATCTAAAATCCTAGCTACGGCCCTGCTCATTATGTGTTTGTTGTGCTTGTTATACCTGATGACAATGTTTATTTGTCTGTAAATATTAAACTGTAAAACAAAATAAAACAAACTTGCTCAATGACACATGAGTCTGACTCATTGCCATAACAACGGTGTCCATGCACAATCCACCACTGGCTGCAGATTTGACAGGATGAACATGAAGGCACAGCTCATGCTCGGCAGTCACGTGATGGAGTCACATGCTTACCAGGAAGCTGTGGTCTGTTTACCTATGTGTCATCATCCATACACTGCGACACCGAGCATCCCTTATGTGTGATGAAGTAGTCCAGCATGAAGCCGGTCCCCGCTCGCTCTCTGCGCCGATAATGTCTCCCATCTCCCCCCGCGTGATCGTGTGAGCATCTCCATGGCATCTTCAAGTTACACCTGCATCCAGGAGAGCGCCACAGGTTTGTCTGCACACCATTCACTCCTGTGTGTGTCTCTGGCTCCACATCTGTGTGTGGGTTTGTTTCTCTACATGTATTAACGCTGTTTGCACATATCAGGCGGCTCCAGATGTTTGGTTGTGTGAGGCGACGCTGATGTGATTTACACCGGGTGTGACAAAAGGAAGTGCTCAGTACTGAACATCAACGTTAGACTGGCCTGCTGCATCCTATTTCTACATGTTAAGCAGGTCCCAGTTGAACCAGTATCCCCAGGCTCATTACAATGAATGAGCTTAAAGGGACACTATATTGATTTAACTTCAGTTTGTCATCAGATTGGCAGGGTTGGGAGGGTTACTTTAAAATGTAATCCCATTCAATCGACCTGTTTAAACAGTCAGTAACCTAATCCAAGTGTCACAATATTAGAGTAGTGTAACTTGATTACTTTGGGAGTAGCTCAACAACAAAGTTTGTAAATAAAGACAAGATAAAATAAATAATATGTATCTCATAAGATGACAGAAACCTCAGAAAAATAAGATATTTAGTAAAATTAAAAATGTGTCCTCTGCTCAGTGTATTTTTTTTAAAGAAAAGTGGTGTATTTTATAAGTGTAATCCTGCTAATAGTCCTATTTTTTTACTAAATGTAATTTGATTACGTTTTATTTCATTAACTGCAATGAATTACAGTTTTTCTTGTATCCTGACATAACTCATTTACATCTAAGCTGTTACTCCACAAGCCTGCAGATCGGCGGGCTTGAAACCGTTAAATATTTTGCAACACAAGCATGTAGGAGGCAGATTATTTTCTCTGTGAACTGTTTGGTCTATAAAACATCTGAAAACAGTGAAAACTGCCCACCCTGGAGCCCAGGGTGACGTCATGTTTTCTTTTGTCTGGCCAACGGTCCAAAACGCCCACAGATAATCTACTGTTATGTAAGATGAGGAGAAGTTGGAAATGTTTGACATTTTTGCTTGAAAAATGACTTAAAATTATTAATCATTTATCAAAATAGCTGCGGATTAATTTTTTTCCAACCAAAAAATGTGTTCAAATCCGACCTGGGCCCTTTGCTGCATGTCTTCCCCTCTTTCCTCCCTGCCTTCCCTGTCACTATTAACATTTCTTTCTTTCTTTGTATTTTCCAGAGAAGGACAAGCTCCTCTCCTCCGTGGCCAGCTATGGGTCCCGGGATCTTCTCGGGGCTGGCAGCCCCCGTCCCACCACTCTGGTGGGCTCCGAGCAGGAGGAAGAGGAGGAGGCCCTGAGGAGGAAGCTCAAGTACTTCTTCATGAGCCCTTGTGACAAGTATCACGCCAAGGGCCGCAAGCCTTTCAAACTGGGCCTGCAGCTGCTCAAAATCATCATTGTGACTGTGCAGGTGGTTACAGCTTCATGCTATTAGATGCAAAGTACAAAATTACTTCAAGACATGATGGATGCTGATGTCTGAGAAAAGTCTGTTCTGTTTTAAATTTAAATGTCCCAAATGAACAGAAGGACTGAACAGACTTTAGAGTTTACAGTATAGCTCATAGTAGTTAGCTTTGTGCTAAGGGTTACTTTCTTATTAGTCCCAGGAAGAAAGAGAGGCATACAAAGAAAACACCAACAAGGCATCAAGTAAGGATCACCTCCAGTCCAGATCAGTCTCAGTCCATCTAGTCCTCAAAGGGAATTAAAATGACTCGCAAATACACACAGACCACTGAGCAAATAAATCACAGAAAAGAAATTAGGAAAGAATAATAAATGTGATAGACCACATTTAGTTAAGTTATCAGGTACCTAGTGTTTCCTTTCTTTCTATGTAATATCCATATATTCCTATGTAATGCAAAATGTATCAGTACAAAGTCTTACAGTCGTACAGTCGTACAAAGAGAAAAGGTCAGTTTCTCCATATCATACATTTCCTGTATAATTGCTGTCCATTTGCCTTTTGTTGGTGATTCTTTATCTAGCCATTGTTTAGTTAATGCTTCTTTTGCTAGCTACAAATTATACTTTAGGGGGTTCTTGTCTTGAGCGTTACATCCTGGCCTGTTTTTATTTTTATTCTGTGCTACCTAAATCATAACTTCTTATTCTGCAATTTCCCGTTGAAGCTCATTTGTTTTGTCCCTGCCTCTGCCTCTCAGTTGGTGCTGTTTGGACTGAGCAACCAGATGGTGGTGACATTTAAAGAGGAAAACACAGCTGCATTCAAACACCTTTTCCTGAAGGGTTATCAGGACAACGCTCCTCAGGCCGTCCACACTCAGAAGGAACTGTACAGCCACATCTACTTCGCCATAGAGCAGGTAGCCTAATCACAACTACAGGGGATGCTTAAAGGGTTGGTTCACCCAAATTACAAAAAAAACATATTTTATTGTAATTGTTATATTTTAGGCACAACGGTTTGTAGCTAAATGCTAATAATGCTAGCATGCTGGTGTTTGTCAGTCATTTGCTAATTAGCCTCAAACACAAAGTACAGCTGAGGCTAGATGTGTCATTCTGTTAAAGCAGCAACATGAACTTTCTGGCGGCCCCTGTGGATAAAAGTGGTAGTGTTTCTACCGCCTCATTTCATTGATTTCAAGGGGAATCTGACTCAGTGGCAGGTATGAAGAATAAGTATATAATCTTCTCACTGATGGTCTTGTTTGTTTATGTAAGTCATAGCAATGCATCAGTATTCAATCTAGACTGTTTCATAACCAATTAAAACTCGACAAGTGGGTTGCAATTTGTTTGAATGTCATTTTGCAATGCTGAGAGCACCACAAAATAAACGAATCTCCATTATATTGGTGTGAGTGCAGAAAATGTGGCGGGTATAAAACGTTTGGCTAGATATTTCTAGGGGGTGAGGAAGAAAACATGTTTTCATTTTGTGATTTGGGTGAACCGACTCTTTCAAACGGTAGTATTTGGACCTGAAGTTTCATTGTCATGTGGTTTACATGTTAAAGGTTTATCCACCTTGCAGAGAAGATGTGACACTGCTGCTCTGTATTTTTAATATGTCTTCACTTCTCCACTTCCAGTACATGGCTCTGCCTCAGATTTCACTGGGGCAGTATGCGTACGTGTTGGGCGTTGGTGTAAACGGAAGTGCGCTCTCCCTCTGCCAGAGGTACTACAGGAAGGGCACCATCGACCCCGTCAACGACACCTTTGACATTGATCCCCATATTGTCGCTGGTAGGATGACCTTTTATCTTTTAGATTTTTTTTCTCTGTGGCATTTAGTAAATTAGTGCCTGGCTAATCAACATTATTCAGTTAGTGCCAGTGTTTTCTTGGCCCTTAAGGAAATGACTGTGTCAGTAAGTCATTGTGTTGCTGCTCCACATACTGTATGTCAAGAGGTGCCCTGCAACTGTGCCCTACTTACAAAGGCTGGAAATAGTTCCTATCACCAAAAAACACAACATTAAAGCTTTTTTTCCATATACTTTAGTAGCAGCACACTATATCTCTGCCTTGGGAAATGAATTATTTGCATACACCTGCTGATCTGGCAGAGAAGACTTTTCGCAATGCACGACAAATGTTGCAAAAATATTAAGTATTACAAATAAAGATCTCCAAGGGGACAACTCTGCATTTAAATGCTTTGAGGAAGCGTAGTTGAAGTCTACACTTCACGTGATGTGGAAAAAGATGCTTTTCTATGGTTTTAAACTTCCCCATGTGATATTTCTTAGTTCCTCTAAGGCTATTCTCTGATTTATTTCCAGATTGCATTGGACTGAATCCACCGACTTACAGTTCTGCTCCAGGAAACAGTGACTACAAGAATTTCACTCTCGAGTTTCATAAGTCAGATGATATTATGTTTTGTTTTTTTTACATTAGAAGTGTTAAGTGTTCTTTTTCTATTCACACTGAATTATCTGTGTCTCCAGGCTCATCAATGTAACAGTTGACTTCCAGCTGAAGGCGATCAACATTCAGACCATTATAAACAATGAAATCCCTGACTGCTACACCTTTGCTATCACGGTGAGCTGTCTCTTCTCTTATTCCTATTTTAATAAACCACAGGCATCACAGTGCAGTACAGATAGAAAGCTGTCCTCAATTCAGCCACACTTAATCACAACTGCGAATTTGCAGTTTTTCCAAGTTGTATGTTAAAATGAGCAAAACATTCAGATAAGAGTTGAGATAAACTGACCGAGTTGTGTCAACATTTCCATACCCAGAGGTTGTATATTTACTCTGGTTTCTTTTGCTATCAGATTGTCATGGATAACAAGGCCCACAGCGGCAAAGTTAAGATCAATTTGCAGAACCAGGCCTCCATAAAAGAGTGTAAAGACCCCAATGTGTCTGGACATGGTGAGTAACTGGTGGCGGATGAGCTGCAATAGACAGATACTCACTCATCTGACTCTTAATATCAACTGTTATATCTGTCATTTTCTCAACTGCCTTTGATCCCTCTCACCTGGCTCCTCTTGTGTCAGCGGAGAGCTATGCACGGGAGTTCTTGGATGTGCTGGTGGCGATCGTCTGTCTGCTGTCCCTGCTGCTGTGTGGGCGCTCTATCTTCAGAGGCATCCTTCTGCAGCACGTAAGACAGCAGATAAAACATTTCTGTATTTATGTTGTGAAAATGCTGTTTTACTTGCTGACAATACTCTCCTTTCTGAATTCAATCAGACTGTGCACAGTATATTCTGTTGGTTTAAATACACAGAAATTAAAGGTGCTATGTGGAGTTATAATATATATATCTTCCTTCTCTCTAAACAGGAGTATGTGCAGTTTTTCAAACACAAACTTGGCCGCAGTGTGAGTTGGGGAGACCGAATGGAGTTCATCAACGGTTGGTATATTCTGCTCATTGTCAGCGACCTGTTTACCATCATCGGCAGCTTCATCAAAATTGGAATTGAGTCAAAGGTAATAAGACACTTGGAAAAATGATCATCTCCAGCTAAAGTGTAAACAGCTTTACCGTACAGTTCTCAGTTTGTGGTAATTGATGATGTCACTGTTGTGATGCAGAATTTGTCATCATATGACATGTGCGGGATCCTGCTGGGAACCTCTACACTGCTGGTGTGGGTGGGAGTGATTCGCTACCTCAGCTTCTTTCAGAAATACAATGTAAGGACACATGCCCACAAACACATACAAACAAATAAATATCATGTAAAGGTCATGTAAAGGTCATATCTTCCTCTTTGTCTTGTGTGTCTGCATCCCTACTCTTCAATAAACATATTTAGTTCATTCCCTTCCTCTCTCTTTATCTCACAGATCTTGATTGTGACTCTAAGAGCTGCTTTTCCGAACGTCATCCGCTTCTGCTGCTGTGCAGCTGCCATTTATATGGGATATTGCTTCTGTGGCTGGATTGTGCTCGGGCCCTATCATACTAAGGTACTGTACGCACACACTGCAGTGTCTCTAACCAGAAATGAGCTGGCATGAGTCATTCAGACCACAAGTACATGTCAGAACAGCCTAATTATTATAAAGTGCCCTCCAGCATATTATCTTTGTAGCTATGAATAATTGATGAAAAAAGAAAATTAACATCTATTAAATATGAATCATGACAACACTGTGTGGATATATTGTTTTTGCTTGCAATGTTGGTGTACTGTGTTGTGGTAGAAAGAGGGCAATCTTACAAATAGCAGCTTATACAGTTTCAAATATGCAAAAATTAACCAAATACACACCACTATAAAATATTTGTAAAGGTTCAATTTCATAAAGAACCATGCAGTTAAAAGCCTTGCAGCAAATTAAAGGGGTACTGTGGCTTTGCATTATTCCATTTCCAGAAAGTCGGGTGACTCAGAAAAGACATTTAATGTGTCTCTTGTGAGTCAAAATGAGTCAAAATTAAAGCAGCAGAGGCCTATAAATCCTGACTTTTAGTCTCTAGTATGAGACCATGTTCAAATTTTCTTATAACATCACCAGTGTTATTTTCTAAACCTTAGAAACAGCAACGAAGACATTATACATCTGTTTTTTACAGGCTGAGTGGTTGTGAACTGAACTAAACTAATTTATAAATTAGATAACATTTTGAGAAATACGTTTATTTGCTTTCTTTTTGGACTAGGTTGGCTAGCTGTTTCCCTATTTCTAGTCTTAAAGTAAGCTTGCCTAACCGGCTAGGCTTCATATGGTAGCAACTCTGGATAGTCGATTACCATAGTTGTCTAAATAATGACTGGTGAGTCAGTCTCTGCTACTTTATTATAACACATACTTACACTTAACTGGGGCAGTTAGAGCTTGCACACAAAAACAACAAACAGGCCATCTAGCCTCCTCTCCAGCTATCAACTCCATTGGCACTGTGGGCCACGTGAGGAACAACCAAAAACAGAAGTAGAAGTCTTTTTATATATATATATATATCGGATATAATATAGTATGAAATAATAAGTCTATGTATTAAATATCCGCAGTAGATTGCGATTTTCTTAAAATTCTTACCCTGGAGAACAATA